AACATATTAGTATAACTGTGATTTAACTGGCCAATTGTTTGAACAAAATTATCAATTGCGATTTTGTTGATAAACCAGTGGATTAATTGATGGTATTCGAGAACTAATTTTAGACTTTTTGAACAAATCATAAAACATAACACGATACGGACGGTGTACAATCGATTCCCTTCGGAGACCAAATAGTTTTTAATGACATTTTTCGCTACCTGGAGCACTTTTCAAAGCTCAAAACTCGCTTTTGAACGGTTTTTTGCACCAACGACACTTGAAACACGACTCATGCCAATAGGCATTAAATGCCGAGACGCATTTTTCGAAAGTTGGCAATTTGCATGCGTGGCATTTTGGCGACGTCGCGGCACGATGACAATCGGCACATCTGAAGACACTGCTGAAGGCGTGCACTGGATAGCACGGTGTTACGCCGAGTGTTTTCTGGAATTTATTGGGTTACTGTAGCTACCGTAATCCTAGATTATTTATATTAGTAGTAATGCCTACTGTTATCCTTGTCGATTATCTTTGGAATTCTGGATTTCAGAACTTTAAAATTTTTTAGGAATTTCAGATTTTTGAAATTTTAAGTTTCAGAATTCGAGAATTTTATAAAAATGTGCAAGTTACCTGACACACTGAGCACTTGAGACACGATTTGTGAAACATTTCGTCTTGGATTTTCAGAATCTTTCCCTAAAAAAAATTTTTTTGCCGTCAAAATTCCAAAATTCAAGTTTTCCCTTACCGTTTGAGCATCCTGACGGGTTAGTGTCGTTGTGCAACTTTTACAGTGTACGTTATACGGTAGCACTGGTTTTTGAAGGCGTTTAGTGTTCAAAGACATTTGGAACCAGATTTTGGAAATAGGGGGAAATTGTTTTAAATGGTTTAGAAAATTAGAAAATTTGAGACTTTTGGGATTTCACGATTTTCATAAGATATGAATTTGAAGAATTTTGATGCTTGTATATACACAAAAGGGGGCATGGGGGTTTTTTTTTAAATCACGTATATGACCACTCTATCCTCCGTTTTTTCCAGGCAAAATATCCGTTTTTCCAGGCAAAATACTGACGTTTTTCTGAAGCGATTTTTAGTGAATTCAAATTTATTTCCCTCAAAAATAAAAAGAGAAAAATGACTCATTTCTCTAGGAAAACACCCCCACCCCCAAAATTGTATTAGCCCTTCAAATTATTTTCAGCACTTACAATGTTTTTGTCTTCAGGCTTAGCACTCTAAATCAACGGATACCTAAAAACAAGCTCCCTGAATGTGTACCTATAACCTATTCTTGGTACTTTCGAAAAAACAAACAAACTCCCAAGTTTTAGAATTTGAAATAAAAATCACATTTTCAGTGTAAAATCGGCAATTTTCAAATTTAATTTCCTTCACTCCTAGGAGGTTTTAGGACTTGAAATTTTTGTGTTATTCTCCGAACTATTTGAAATTTCATATTTTTACATTATTGTTGAAAAAAATTTACAAACTTGAAAACTTGGGTCCACCCAAAGTGTAGGCGAGTTTTGTAACTTTCCGGAAAAATGTTTTTTGAAAAAATGTAAAAAGAGGAAATTTCCAATAGTTTTGAGTATAACACAAAACATTTCAAGTCCTATAACCTCCTAGGAGTGGAGAAAATGAAATTTGAAAATTGCCGATTCCTTAATTTCAGAAATCCTGAATTTCTGAATTTCTGAATTCCCGAATTCCTTAATTTCAGAAATCCTGAATTTCTGAATTTCTGAATTCCCGAATTCCTGAATTTCAGAAATCCTGAATTTCTGAATTCCCGAATTCCTTAATTTCAGAAATCCTGAATTTCTGAATTTCTGAATTCCCGAATTCCTTAATTTCAGAAATCCTGAATTTCTGAATTTCTGAATTCCCGAATTCCTGAATTTCAGAAATCCTGAATTCCTGAATTTTTAAATTCAAAAAATCCGGAAATTGCAAATACACAGAAAAACCAAGGCATGGATAATTTTGGACCCAATTTTTGAAATTTATTTCCCGCCATTTTTCCCGCCATTTATTTTTTTTTCAAATTTCAGTGATCGGTCTGGTATACGGTAGCTATTTTCTCTACCGTCGATATGTGACAGACGCGAATGATAAGCGAGAATCAGATGAATACCTGCGAAAATTGGTAAGACAAGTCAACGATTCACCGGAAACCACGTGGAAAGCGAAATTCAATAAATTTGGAGTCAAAAATCGGTCGTATGGATTCAAATATACAAGAAATCAGACAGCGGTTGAGGAATATATGGAACATATCCGCAAATTTTTCGAATCCGATGCGATGAAACGACATTTGGAGTGAGTTTTTGGGAGAAATGGGATTATTGGAATTCTTTTGCTAGGGATGAAATTTGAGTTTTTCACATTAAAATGTTTTTTCAGAGAACTCGAAAACTACAAATCTTCATCTCTCCCAAAACACTTCGATGCTCGTCAAAAATGGCCCAACTGCCCATCAATCTCAAATGTTCCAAATCAAGGTGGCTGTGGAAGTTGTTTCGCTGTAGCTGCCGCTGGCGTTGCCTCCGATCGTGCCTGTATTCATTCGAATGGAACATTCAAATCACTTTTATCAGAAGAAGACATCATTGGATGTTGTTCGGTGTGCGGGAATTGCTATGGAGGCGATCCATTGAAAGCGTTGACTTATTGGGTTAATCAGGGACTTGTTACTGGTGAGTTGCCTATAAGGTGTTCATGTTTCTTGGATTTGTCTGAAAATTTGAGAGAATATAGCGCAAGACTGAAGCTTCATTTTTGTAGTTGACAACTTTTTTGTCCAATCAGGTTCTGGGGAGATATACCAACGTGGGCGAGGCCCTCTTTTTTTGGCGCTATCATCCTCTTCTTGCGGCAAACGCGCTAGAACGCACTTCAAACTTTTGGAATTTGTCTGAAATGATTCAAAAGCATAGAAAAAGACTGAAGCTTCGTGGACCCACAAAAGTAGGAGCTCTTCCACGTGGCATGTCTCCCCAGGCTCAAATTCTACAAAAAAGTTGTCAACTACAAAAATCAAGCTCTAGTTTCGTTTAGTATACTTTGAAATTTTTAGGCAAATCCGACAAGTTTTAACTAGTTTTTTGAACCAATAAAAAATGACAAAATGATGAAAGATTAACAAATTTTCAAATTTTCCTAGCAACACTGAAATTGTTTCAATTTCTTTGAAATTTTTTGAGTATTCTAAACAAAATAAGATCTATAATTTCCCAGGTGGTCGTGACGGTTGCCGTCCGTACTCATTTGATTTGTCGTGTGGTGTCCCATGCTCGCCAGCAACGTTCTTCGAGGCCGAGGAAAAACGGACGTGTATGAGGAGGTGTCAAAATATCTACTATCAGCAGAAATATGAAGAGGATAAGCATTTTGGTGAGTTGTTCTTTTCCTGGGTTTATTTTGGTTCAGTGTTCCCAAAGCTCAAAATCCAAGATTTCGAGTCTCAAAACATATCCCAAGGCACGCAAAATGTTATAAAAATTGTTTGGTCCCCAAACAAATTAAACTTTAGGTTATTCTGCTCCAAGTTCATCTCTCTTACCCACTGCGCCATCGCCGCGCGCTTAGGCGCCCCCTTGGGTGCCGCGGTAGCTCAAAGTGCGCGGGGTCTCAATGGCGCAGTGGGTAAGAGACTCGAAGAACGTTGCTGGCGAGCATGGGACACCACACGACGTACTTGGAGCAGATGGCCCAAAAGTTCGATTTCTTTAAAGACCAAATAGTTTTTAATGAAATTTTCAGCTAATTATAACTTGTTTCTAGGGTGGATACTTCCCAGACCCGTCATCTTTGAGCCAATTTATCTGGGTCCTTGTTAAAGATATCAAAAATTGGTCAACTAATAAAATATTGCTGATATTATGAAAAACATTTTATTAGTTGACAACTTTTTGATATCTTTCACGAAAAATGAGGTAATTGAGCGCAAAAACTAGACAAATTTCAGCAACGTTCGCCTATTCCCTGTACCCCCGCTCGATGACAGTATCCCCAGATGGAAAGGAACGTGTGAAGGTCCCAACAATCATTGGACATTTCAACGACAAAAATACCGAGAAATTGAATGTAACTGAATATCGAAATGTGATCAAAAAGGAAATTCTGTTGTATGGACCAACAACAATGGCGTTCCCGGTACCTGAAGAGTTTCTGCATTATTCGAGTGGAGTGTTCCGTCCATTCCCATTGGATGGTTTCGATGACAGAATTGTTTATTGGCACGTCGTACGATTGATTGGATGGGGAGAGTCTGATGACGGACAACATTATTGGTTAGCTGTCAATAGTTTTGGAAATCATTGGGGTGATAATGGTAAGGAATATATGAAAATTGCTTTAAAAGTAATTAAAAAACTATTTGATCCTCAAAGGAATCGAACTTTTGCGTCATCTGCTCCGAAGTCATCTTTCTTACCTACTGCGCCATCGAGACACAGCGCGCTTAGAGCTACCGCGGCGCCTAAGGGGGAGCCTAAGCGCGCAGTGATGGTGCAGTGGATAACAGGGATGGCTTTGAAGCAGATGACTGAAAAGTTCGATTCCTTCGGGGACCAGAAATTCAGAAATTTAGAAATTCAGAAATTTAGAAATTCAGAAATTCAGAAATTCAGAAATTCGGAAATTCGGAATATCAGAAATTCGGAAATTCGGAAATTCGGAAATTCGGATATTCAGAAATTCAGAAATTCAGACCGATCACTGAAATTTGGAAAAAAATTGGCGGGAAAAAAATTTCAAAAATTGGGTCAAAAATTATCCATGCCTTGGTTTTTCAGTGTATTTGCGATTTTCGGATTTTTTGAATTTAAAAATTCTTCTTAAAAATTTATTCAGGAATTCAGGAATTCAGAAATTCAGGAATTCAGAAATTCAGAAATTCAGAAATTCAGAAATTCGAATATTCAGAAATTCAGAAATTCAGAAACTTTTAGAAATTCAGGAATTCAGAAATTCAGAAATTCAGAAATTCCAATTTTCTAGGAATCTTCAAAATCAATACCGACGATATGGAAAAGTACGGTTTGGAGTACGAAACGGCAGTTGTCTAAAAACTTTCCTAATTTCTGAAAATTTTTAATTTTGTAAATATTTTCGCAATTTCCTTTTAAAAAATCCCCCCCCCCCCCCCCCCAAAATTTGCATCTCATTTCTCATTTTCCCCCATTTCTTTTTTTTAATTAGTGACCTAGAAAAAACCTAGGCCAGCAGCACCAAAATATTTATTCTTACACTTTTCCATTTTTTTAAATTTTTTTGGCTCATTTTCTCTCATTCCATTGACGAATGCTGAAATTGCCATTTTTTTTAAATTTCATAGATATTTCCCATAAAAATGAAATAAAATTTTTTGAATTCCGAAAATTTTTTGTTTGAACGTCTCATTGAAAACGAACTGTAAATCAATGAAACTATAGCTTAGTGTGCGGTGGAGCGCACTTTAAAAAATCAATAGCTAAAAATCAATAATCATGGAATTGCACTCCTCCCAGCTATGTATGTCCCATTCATTTGGATCATTCAGTAAATCCTCTATGTCTCTTTGGTCCCTTATTTTTGATTTTTATTGAATTTTGCATTCTTCTAATTTTCCATGTCCCATGTTGGCCTCTATTGATATCGAATTTCGTCACAAAATTCAAAAAATCGTCGTTTTTTGTGAAAATCCGCAGCTGTCTGAAACCTAGCTGAAAATTATTCGAATCGCCTGAAAATTTCAGAGTATACCAAACAAAACTAGAGCTACATTTTTGTACTTGACAACTTTTTGTTATGTAAAGGCGCCCTAATGAGATATGCCACGGGGAAGTGACCCTTGTTTTTGGCGCCCCTAGCCGGAAAGGGGGGGGGGGTACGGCGTAAAAAGAAGGGGGGGGGGGGGGTGCACTTTCAGGTCGCAAGGAAGGAGGGCCTCTTCCACGTGGCATAACTCCTCAGGGCCTGATTTTTCAAAAAAGTGGTCAACTACAAAAATAAACCTCTTGTTTTGTTTGGTCTACTCTGAAAATGTCAGGCAAATCGAAAAAGTTTGAAGTGCGTTCTAGCGCGTTCTAGCGCGTTTGCCGCAAGGAAGGGGTGGTGGCGCCGAAAAAATAGGGCCTCTTCCACGTGGCATAACTCTTCAGGGCCTAATTTTTCGAAAAAGTTGTCAATTATAAAAATAAAGCGCTAGTAATGTTTAGTGTACTTTAAAATTTTCAGAAAGTTTGAAAAAGTTTGAATTAGTTTTTAGAGAGCTCCAAAATTACCGATTTTCAACTGAAAATAAGATAAGGAGGGGTGGTTTTTTTAATTGAAAATTTCAATTTTTGCAGGAAGTCAAAATGGGAGAAGTCGCTTCTATATATGACAATTTCCAGTTCTTCTTTCTTCCAAAATTTTTTTTTCGAAAATCAGATTTTTTGAATTTCCCGCCAAAATCTGTCTTCTCTTCCCCCCATTGTCACCTTTTCTCGTCAGAATCGAAATTTCGTTGCATTTTATGTGTGGTGTGGTGGTGTAGGGGTAATCTGTCTGTGTCTCTCACTCTCTGCACTCTCTCCTCTCCACGCACTCTCTCACTCTCGCACTCTCTCTCTCTATCTCTCCCCTGTTCCTAGTTTCCAACGCCACTTTTTTGGCTGTTGGCGTTTTTAGGCCCATTTTTCGAATGTTTTTTTTTGCAATTGTCTTAAAAAATGACGAAAAAAGAAATCTGGATTTTCGGGAAATTTCAGAAAAACTCAATTCGAAAGTTCCTAACTATTCTAAGCATTTCAAATTTTAGAAAACGAAACTTTAGATATTGTCACCCCTATACTTTAAGCACAATTATCTTGGCTCCTTAAAAAGTTATCTAAAATTTGTCAATTAACAAAATGTTGGTGATTATGTGATAAACGTTTTATCAGTTGACAGTATTCTGATATCTCTAGAAGGAGCCGAGATAAACCAGCTTTTGCTTATCAGCCGCCGGTATCAACCTGTTCCTCGTCTTCCTATTCATGTGCGCCTTTAAACCAACTCAAATTTCAGCTAAAAGACGAATTTTCCGCTAAAATGCAACCCTGGAGACGCCCACCACCACTACTCACCGAGGAAGAACAGGCGGCGTTAAAGGCTCAGAGATTGTTAGCAGCCCAGGAAAGGCAAGAGATACAAGATTGGAAAAATAATCAGAAAAAAATGTGGCCAATTATTACAGAGGATTTTCAGCCGGAATTTTGGATGTGAGTTTTTTGAATATGTGCACTTTGAGCTCAATTATCTCGGTTCATGTCAGAGATACGAAAAAGTTGTCAACTAATAAAACATTTGTGATAATGTGATAAACAATATATTAGTTAACCACTATTTGACATCTTTCATAGGAACCGAGATAAATTGGCTCAAAGTTAAATGATAGCTTGAAAGTCGTGCTAGGTGCCCAGTTAAAAGCCGTTTTGGTTTAAATCTACAATTTGAAAATAATTGTGTTATATGTCATTCAGTAGCGTTTTTTAAATCCTACATGTTTCAATTTAAATCAATAAAAAATATTGAGTTTGAAGCTAATTATAAGGCTCTAGAAAGTACACATATTTCTGCTACAGTAGTTCCAGTTGTCCTTCAACTTTGAATCTATTTATCTCGTTTCTTTTAAACGATATCAACAAGTGATAAACTAATAAATAATTGTTGATAATATGATAAATATTCTATCCATTTACCAATTTTTGATATCTCTTACAGGACCCGAGATAAATTGGCTCAAAATGTTCATAACATCATTTTGGTACACTGATTGTTTAGAAGGCATAACTTACTTCAAACTCAACATATTTCAATAAATTTTAACTTGAATTGTAGATGGTAAAAAGCTCTACAAAACAATAATCAAATTAATAAATATCATTTTCAAAAAAAAAGCTTTATGATCCTTTAAACATTCAACTTTTTTCAGCGAGCAGTACCGCGAGCGCCACGCCGAAACACTTGCTAGATCTGTCGACATTTATGTTGAGAGAATCGAAAACTTGGACAAATCGGAAGCGGAGAGTCTTCTACTTGAGATTCTCACAAAAATAACGTTTGTGGAGAACAATCTCACTGTGAATGGAGCTCAAACAGTTGAGACATTATTCGAGAATCTCAAAAAGGCACCAAGTGCATCTGGGGTGAGTTTGAAGTTTTTTTTGAATATAAAAACTGGGAATTTCAATTAAATCTAAATATTTTTTTGTAGCACTTTTCAAATCCTACATTTTTAATTCTAAATTATCTAAAAATATTGAGTTTTAAGCTAGTTATGAGGCAAATGCCAAAAGCAACAGCATAGTGGGCAGCGATGCGGTACTTGCCCTTTGAGCTCGCTTATCTCGGTTCCTATATGTTATATCAGGAAGTGGTCGACTAGTAAAACATTTTTGATAAGATAATGAGCATTTTATTAGTTGACAAACTTTTAATATCTTTTACAGGAACCGAGATAATCAGGCTCAAAGTTGGCAAGAACGGTAGCGGCGCCGATCTAGCCGCGCGATGTATTAAGCTGATTTATCTCGATTCCTGTAAGAGATATCAACAAGTGATTAACTAATAAAATGTTCATCATGTTATCAGCAACATTTTATCAGTTTACACATTTTTGATATTTCTCCTAGGAATTGAGATGAGAGGGCTAAGGCGCGCATTGCAATCTGTGGGCGGAGCGTTGACAAATAGCAGCAATTTTTTTTCAATTTTGACAGTAGAATGGTTTCAATGTTCTAAAAATAAATAAGAAGATTAAATTCCAGGACATCCCCTTCAAGTCAATCGAGGAACTCTCGGATTTTCTGAATTCAATGTATTTGAATTTCCGCAAAGAAGGCGACGAATTCAGAAACATCGGAGTCCAAGGTCGTCGATGGATTCAATTCCTGAAGAATGAGTTGGACAACGGAAACTATGTTGAAGAGGATAATTTTCATGACTTGTAAGTGTTTTTTTTCTTAAAGCTTGCTTAAAAATTGATTTAAAGGGACATGAACTATCGTTATCCTTTGCTTCTGCCCTCATGCGCCTTTAAATTTGTCACTTTTTAAAGGGTCATATCTTTGTTGATAGTTGATCGAATTTTTTGAGATTAAAATTTTTGAATTCAGCTTATTTCGAGCTTTCAAATGAGTATAATAATGCTATAATTTTAACATTTATCTCTTCAGATATGAGGATTTCAAAAGACCATCCCCGCTGGCAACGAATTCGCCCTCCACGAAGCGGCGATGGATTTTACTTCTCTCCGCGAGATTGGAAATATGATTCCAGTGTTTAAATACCGTAAGTCGTTTTTTTTAAAATTTCAAATTATTGAAAAAAAATCGGTCTAATCTAAATGTAGAGCTTCTAAAAAAGCAAAAGCTTCCGAGCCAGCTAGACTACTTACTTTGAGCTCAATTATATCGGTTCCTATAAGTGATTTCGAAACGTTGTCAACTGATAAAATGTTGTTCATAATATCAACAACATTTTTGTAGTTGCCAGTTTTTTGATGGCTCTTATGGGAGCCGAGATAATTGAGCTCAAAGTGGATGATTTGAGTGGGCTCCTATTAGAAGAAATCCGGTATTTTTAGAAAGAAGAGCTATAACTTTCTTATAATTCTTTTTCTTAAAATGATTTTCATCCCAACATGTAGATCTTTGTAAATTCTACCAAATCATATAAAATTCATGAACATTTGAAATCCCACTTGTTCGCTAACATCCATTAATAAGGACTAAGTCGACGCCTAGCACGCGCCTGTTCAACGGCTACTTTTTGGAATCGCTAGAAATCACAATCAAATGCGTTATATATAATTTTTTAGCGCTTTTCAATTCCTACATTTTACAATTTAAATTAATCAAAAATATTGAGTTTCAAGAAAGTTATAATTTAAAGAAGGACAATAGATATATAGAAGGATACAAGATGAGACCCCTTGACTTTCACCTCCGAGCCAATTTATCTCGTCTCTTGTGAAAGATATCAAAAATTGGTCAGCTGATAAAATGTTGCTGATATTATGATAAACATTTTATCTATTGACCAATTTTTGATATCTTTTACTGGAAATCAGGTATACAGACTCAAAGATAGCACCCTAATGAAAGCCAGCTCTTAAAAATCTGAAATTTTCCAGAAAAAGCGACTGGCCACCTTGAGCTGGTTAATCCAGAAGCTCAGGAATGTCTTTTCATCAATCTCCCAATCTTTTCGGATACTCTAAATTCAGCTCACATGTTTAAAATTGACTTCTCCAGAGGCGTCAGCACGTTGGGAGTCTTCAAAGGAATCCAGTTTCCGTTCAGGCAAGCGGTAAGTGAGCTGCACTTTGAGCTCAATTATCTCGATTCCTTTAGAAGATATAAAAATTTTGTCAACTGATAAATTACTTATCATAATATTAAAAACATTTTACTAGTTTACTACTTTTTGATATCGTTTGCGGGAACCGAGATAATTGAGCTCAAAGTGTAAGCGGTGTTTGTCTTATTTTTTATATTTAAAAATTAACAAAATCAAATTTTTCAGTTCACATGTGCCGGTGAAGTAGCTTCTGAATTGGGGGCTAACATGTTTATAAAGCATTGTAGCCAAGGAGACAAAGCATTTGACTCGAAAAAAATTCCAACAAGCCTTATTGGCAACTCGGTAAGTGGTTTTTAATTCGCTAATTTTTGAAAAACTTGGAATTAAAAATTAAAATTCGGTTTACGCCCCTCCGTGGCTTAACCTCCTGGCCTAAGTGTGTGGACATCCTCGCCCTCTCTGCCCACCACGCTTTACTGTGGCCCAAACCAAGGAACGTCTCCAGAAGACTTCAGAATCAAAATTTCGAAAAAAGAAAAGTTCGGGCATCCACTAAGACACACTTCTGACCTAACTGTCAGGTTTCAGCTCGATCGGTCAACGTTGAGTGGGTTAACAGTCACGCGACATATATACGCACATATAGAAGTTGGTGTTTGTTATTAGTAATGATAATGATTATGTGACATATCATTCTGTAGTGTTTTTTAACCCCTACATTTCACACTTATATTGAAGTTTTCCACGACAGTTTCGAAACGACCGGTTTCGGAACGTCGCGGTTTCGAAGTGACGCGGAGCCGCAAGCTCTGCTACCACCTCTGACTGGCCGCGTCCCTCCAGGGACAAAATTAGCCGTAACTTGCTTCAAACTCAAGTTAGAAACATGATTTTTGTACCAAAATTTTTAAAATTTTCATAGAATTTGATAGGGCCTACGTTGTGCATTTTGAATTAATCAAAATTATCAATTTCGAAGCTAATTATGAGCCAAGCCATAACTTTCTTCAAATTCAATATTTTCAAACGATCTTAATTTTGAAATGTAGATTTTTTCAAGCTCTACAAAACGATATAAAAATTCAAAGTCTCCCGGAAGTTCTTCAACTCAAAAATCTAAATTTTCAGGCGGCGGTCCATGGAAATATCGCTCCGATGAAGAGCAAGAATCCGTTCGAAGTTTTTGAAGTCGAGGTGTCGCCATTAAGCTTGGAGGACAATCTGTGCACAGGAACCAGTGGCAAAATCATAAATTCTATCGGAGACGGAGCAAGAGAACCTGCCGATATTGGAAATGTAGAAAAAGTGCTGAATGACAATCTGAAGAAATCTGTTAGCCGGCCAGCTAAGGTTCCAGAAAATGCTTAGGATTCTTTAGATTTTCAAGATGTTTAGATTCTAATGATCTAAGAGTCTACCATATCCCAATTTTTTGTATTTTCGCCAATAACACCCCCCCCCCCCCTCTCATTTTTTATCGATTGTCTCTCCTTGATGATTCCAGATGATTTTTGCAAATTTCGAACTACAACGTTGTTTTTATCATGATATTCTAAACCTCTACAGTTTTAGTATAAAAAACTGATCCAAATTTTCCGATTAAAATAAAATTTGATTACTGTAATCAGCACATTTCAAATCTTTATTACTTGCCATGTAAGTTATCACTGATTTGAAAAAAATTGAAACATTTTTTTCGGAAAATCACAAAATTAATTAACGACGATCCCTCAGATAGCATACGTAGACGGCGTGGATATAGGATGGGAATACGAAACAAAAATACAGTAGGATATTGAGAAAAACTGAGCAACCGCATGTTCCTTCCTTATACCAAACGGCTAGTGGCTGAAAAATGTTTTTTTATGGATTTGAGCACATCATCAAAATTTTCAGAAGTTAAAAAAAAAACAATTTTTGAAAATTCCTTCAATTAGAATTACTTGCAACCGGGCCTTTGTTTTTTGTCTGTAACTTTGTTCAAAAAACAAGGCACAGTTTTCCAAGTAATACCATTTTGTAGCACTCGTTGAGTTCTATCATATTTAATTCAGTTGGGTGAAAAATACTTTTTCTAAAAACAGCTATGACAGATCCCGCGAAGGCCCGGTTGCAAGTATGATTAGAGGGGGCTCTCCTATTTTTCCTGCCAGTTTTTTTCCGAAATATAGCATCGATAAATTCAACAAAGTTTCGTTAAAAATCCATGAAAGTCTGCCAATTTCAAATAAATTTAGCAAGCTTTTCATCGAACAGAGGGCCCTTCTATTGAAGGGGCCCTTCTAATACAGGTTTACGGTAACTCAAAAAATGGAATTGGGAAATTCCAAAATTTAGAACTTTGGAAATTTTTTGCGGAAATTCGAAAAATTTGAAAACTTGAAAGATCGGAATTTGAAAGTTTCGAAATATTGATTTTTTTCTTGGAAAATCAAAATTTCAAAAAAAAAATCCCAGAATTCCGGAATTCCGAATTCGACAATACCAACAATTCCGACAACTCAAAAGGTCGAAATTCAAAATTTCATAAAATCAAAAAATTCTAAAAAGTCTGAAATTCTGAAAAAGTCGAAACTTCAAAAAATTCAAAGAATCCAAAAACTCTAGAAAACTAACTTTTGAAAATTGGAAATTTCCAAAAATCCATAACCCAAAAAATCTGAAACTCTGAATTCGACAATACCAAATATTCCGAAAATTCAAAAAATTCCAAAAATTCAAAGTTAAATTTTTCCGAAATCCCAAAGGTTTCGAAAATTACAACTTGAAATTTCCGAAAATGCCGAAAATGCAAAACTTCAAAAGATCAAAGAAATCGGAAAGTTAGGAATTTCGAAAATTCGAAAATTCCCGAATCCAGAAGTTTCAAAAAGTCCGACAACTCCGAAATTTCGAAAATTCCGTAAACACTCTAATAGAATGCCAACCGGACCGTCCACTTTGAGCCAATTTATCTCACTTCTTTTGAAAGGTATCGAAAAGTTGTCAACTGATAAAATGTTTATCATGTTATCAGCAACATTTTATTAGTTTACTATTTTTTGATATCTTTCACAGAAAATGAGATACGTGGGCTCAAATTTGACGATTCGGATGGCATTCTATGAGAGTGGTTACGGTAATCTCCCAACAGAATATTTTCAAATTTTCGGATTTATTTTCACTCACCGGAAACAACAAAATCAAAATCACCATAACAATACGATCCTCAGGAGTCTCCATTTTTGATTTTTCTCTGAAATCAAAAATTGACTGAAATTTTCAGAAAAAAAACATTTTTTTTTTGAAAAAAATGGTGTTTCCTACTGTACATGACTGTATTTTATACACAAAAAAGTGAGTCATTTTGTTATTTTTTTCATTTTCGTATAGAAAGAAAAAAACAGAAAAAAGTCAGCTACAATGTGTATACAGGAGATGAGTAATAGGAAAAGTATTTCTTCCGGTCCAAATTTTTTTTCGAAATTTCAGAATTTTCTGGAATTTCATAATTTTAGCATTTCAGAATTTCAGGATTCCAGAATTTCAAAATTTCGGGATCGGATAATTTGAGAATTTGAGAATTTGAGAATTTCAAAATTTCAGAATTTCAAAGTGATAAAATTTCAGAATTTCAGAATTTGAGAATTTCAGAATTTCGGGATTGGAGAATTTGAGAATTTCATAGTTTCTAAAAGTTTCCTGGAATTCCGTTTTATGGAATTCCAGAGGTCCGAATTTCGAAATTTCAGAGTTTCACAATTTTAGAATATTCTAGAATTTAAAAAAGGGCGCGGAGCTTGATATTGAGAAGTGGGCGTGGCTAGGTGACCTTGACATCTAGAAAGGGGCGGAGCTTGAATCTCAAAAGTGGGCGGAGCCTGAGCATTTTGGGGTGTTCCTGGGCCAAAATGGGCGGGATTTGAGCTAATTTGCCCAAATTGGAAATTCAAAAAAAATAACATTTCTTTTAAAAAGTTTTTATTTTGTTTTTCAGAATTTTCAAAATTCAAAAAAAAAGACACACATTGTCAATTATTGCTTAAATTCATATAATAAAATTACAGAAAAAAATTATTGCGGGAGCAAAAAAAATTCTATGGAAATCTATTGAAAAAATGGGGGAGAGAAAATTATTGATTTTTCTAAATATATTGCTTTTCAACAAAACCGGAAAAAATCCTAAAATCTGAAAAAAAATTCTGAAAATTTTTCTTTAAAAATTGTGCATGGATTTGTAAAAAAATGGGAAAATCGAAAAAAAAATAATTCCAAAAAATAACCAGTTTCTGTGTCATAAAGCGGGAAGAAGAGAGAAAATGGGCGTGGCTTAAAAAGTGGGCGGAGCTTAAGATCGGGATAACGAGAGAGGGAGGGGTTGTAAGGCATCTGGGGAGTGTTTTAAAGGGAAATTCTTTTTGGGCAACGGGTGGGCAACACATGGGCAAAAAAAGGTTCTCGGGAAAAATTTAAAATTTTGAAGAAAAATTTTATGAAGTGGCTAGATATGGGGTGGCATTGAGAGATGGAAGAGGTATTCGGATTGAAGGCAAAAATCGGATTTACAAGATTTGCACGAGTAGTGGGTCTGAACCAGAGTTAGCGTCTGAAAAATTGAATTTTGGATGTTTTGAATTTTTTGAAATTCCAAATTTTTTACTTGTCTAAAATCTCGAATTTGTTAAAATTCGAAAATTTCATTTTTGGGATTTTCTATGATTTTTCAATTTTCTAGAATTATTGCATTTGCTGAAAATCCTAAATTTAAAAAAAAGTTGATTTTTTGAAATTTTGGATTTCTCGAAATTTTTAAATTTTTTGAATTTTTAGGAAATTTTCTGAATGTTTTGGATTCTTAGAATTTTTGGAATTTCTGAATTTCTGAATTTCAGGAATTTCAGAATTTTTGAATTTCCGAACTTCAGAATTTCAGAATTTCAGAAACTTCAGAAATTTCAGAATTTCAGAAATTCAGAATTTCAGAATTTCAGAATTTCAGAATTTCAGAATTTCAGAATTTTTGTTTTCTTCAAAATACTGGATTTCCAGGATTTTCAGGAATTTCAGAATTTCGGATATTCAGAATTTCAGAATCTCCGAATTTCAGAAATTTCTTGTAATCTAAAATTTGAGAATTTGAGAATTTCAGAAATTTCTTGTAATCTAAAATTTGAGAATTTGAGAATTTCAGAATTCCAGAATTTCAGATTTCCAGAATTTCAGAGTTCAGGAATTTTTGAATTTCCGAACTCTGGATTTCTAAATTTTAGAAATTCAGAATCTCCGAATTTCAGAAATTTCTTGTAATCTACAATTTGAGAATTTCAGGATCGGAGGATTTCAGAATTTCAGAATTTTAGAATTTCCGAATTTCTGAATTTCTGAATCTCAGAATTAAAATCACCTTATCACATTGACAAATTTGTCGTTGATGCTCGCGGAGCTTCTTCTCCTCTTGGAACACAAATGTACACGTGGGACACGCCCATCCGACCTGAAATTTTGAAGTTTAGGAATTTTCGAAATTTCCGGAATTTCAGAAAATCTAAATTTCCAGAATTTGGGAATTTTCAATTTAATGATCCTAATTAACCAATTAACTGAAAAATTGATTAATTAATTACCTCTTTTTGAGTAGTCGTCAAATGGGATTTTTCGTTTTCCGGAAGCGCGTCTTTCAGTTTTTCGACGTTTAACCCGTCCTGAGAGAATACGGTACGCGGTTTTTTCTCCTTTATATCCGTGGAAATTTGGGTTTTGATTTCCTCGGGTACTTGCAAAAACTGAATTGGTGTTCCGTACATTTGAATGTCAATTAGTGGGTTTAGAAATGGGAACCCAGACAGGTCGAACGCGTTTTGAGCCGTTTTGGAGGATCTGAAAAATTGGATTAAATCAAGTTTTCAGTTTTTTAAGATTGAATTTTAAGAAGGAATCTGGAAATTTCAAAATTTTTGAAAATTTTGGATTTTCGGTAATTTTGAAATTCGGTGTTTTCCAAATTCTGAAAGTTTGAAGGTTCCGGAACTTTGGAGTTTCGGAATTCCAAAATTTCAGAATAGCAGAATTTTCGAAATTTGAAGATTTTTTCAAAAATTTGAAGATTCTGAATTTTTGGATTTTTCAAAATTTCATGACTTTCGGTGTTTTTGGAGTTTTTGAATCTTGGATTTTTAGAATTTTTGAATTTCGATTTTTTTTGGGATATTTGAATTATTGGAAACTTTTGAACTCAATAATTTCAGAAATTTTCTAAGAACATTAGAATATAGTTTTACATTTTCGGTCAGAAATTCTAAAAATCTGGAAATCGAAGTTTCCAGAAATCGATTTTTCGATCTTTTGGAACTTCTGGAACTTTTGGATTTAAAAATGTGAAATTATTAACTTTAATTTTCCAGAAAATCCCAAATTTCCACAAAGCTCAGAAATTCAAAAATTTTGATTTTACAGAAAACTCTAAAATTCCCAAAAATTCGTATCTTCCGAAAATGGCTTTTTTGATCTACCAAAACAAAAATGGCTCTTTGAAATTCCAATTTCGACCTATCGGCTTAAAAGGTCCCCCTACTACAGTACCCAGTACTCACTTCTTCTCCGGCGAGCACTCGGTCACCGACGCCGTCGTCAATTCCGACACCCCTTCCTTCTTAAGCTGTGCTCTCAACACACCAATATGCTCCGCCGTGAAAAGATGATCCTGCAGTGCCAATCTCGTCCCAAAACTTTTGTCACACTGCTCACAATTCAATTCCCCGGATCTCGACTCTTCGTCTACAGTACCCCGTGTCTTTCTCTCCTTGGCTCTCGCATTTTGAAACCACACTTGAACGACACGTTTGTGAAGTCCCACCTCCTTCCCTAGAAGCTCACACTCGGCCATCGATGGCGTCTTGTATTCATTGAATACACTTTTCATCATTTGAACTTGCATCGGTGTTAAATGGGTACGAAATCGTTTTGAGCTGCTTGCTGGCGACCTACACTCGGATCCAGAGCCCCCATTTGAGAGCAACGCTGCGAAAGTAGAATCATCGAGTTGCTCCGTGAGCACATCATCTTCAGATCTTGGAGGACTCGTACTAATCGACTCTCGATAGTCTACTGATGACCCAGATAGGTCCAACGCTGACTCCTTATTATCTAGAAACATATCCGACGCGTCTGGCATCATATCAACATCGATGTTGGCAAAAGCCATGTTATGCTTCTGGTTCATATGCTCTGTCATCGCATTCTTGTCCCGGAACTCTTGCTGACAAAAAAGACACGTTTTGTGGAATCCAATATTCTCGCACATCTTCATTAGGACATCACTGGAGGAGCTGGAGCCACCGGCGGCACCAATCATCTTAAGAAGATCCGCTGGTTGGAACTTTGGAATATCCATTGTGAGGACTTGTTGTTGGGCTAGCAGTTGAGCTTTTTCCTCGTCGGTCAACGATTCTTCCACACTTTTGTTATCGCTGGCCAGTGCGGCGCCGTCGTCCTTGTAGCACTTCTTCTGCTGATGTTGGATGAGTTCGTAGTAGCGTTGGAAGACTTGGTTGCATCTGAAATTGAAGATTTGAATTTTTTAGAAGAGCTCAGCTAGAAGCTTTTGAGATAGGAGGCTCCGCTCAGTCGACGCTTTCTACAGTGTAGCTCAGTCGCTAGGAAACATCCCAAAAAGTTTGGAAAATTTGTTTTACCCATAACTCAAACAAAAGTGTTCCATTTTCTATGAAAAATATATAGACTGATTGGTAATTTTTTG